ACTTCCCCGATAGATCCCCCAGAGAGGGAGGCCCCGGCCCTCCGGCCAGTGGGGTGATCGATGGGGGGGGAGGGGGGCTTCCCGATCGCCCCACAGAAGGAGGCCCAGGCTACCCTCTGTGCGGTGATTGCAGAGCCCTGGCTATGTGGGCGAGGCCTCCCTCTGCTGGGCAGTGGATCACGGAGCCCCGCAATTGATCGCCCCACAGAGGGAGGCCCAGGCCAGCCAAGTGATCACACCCCACGTCTGTCTCCCGTAGAGGGAGGCAACCAGTGGCAGGGTAGCAAGGGGGCAGTGCTGCACAGATGGCAAGCAGTGGCAGTGGCTGGGGTGGGGCCAGCTGCCAGCAGCCGGGGGACCCTACCCAAGGGGTCCCAGATTGCAAGAGGGTGCAGGCCGGGCTGAGGAACACCCCCACCTCCTGCACAAATTTTGTGCACTGGGCCTCTAGTTGTAAATGCTGCAATGGATGTTACTGAATTAGTGTTTTGCGTTTCTTTGCATATATATTCCCAGAAATGGAATCACGGGGTCATAAGGCAGTTCCATTTTAAATGTTCTGAGGTAACTCCATACACTTTCTACAGAGGCTGCACCAATCTGCATTTCCACCAACAGTGTACAGGGTTCCTTTTCCTCCACATCCTTGCCAACACTTGTTGTTTCTTGATTTATTGATGACAGCCATTCTGGGATCCCCATTGCCTTGGCTTTTCATTTTTGGACCCTCTCATGTCTCCTCTGCATCTGCATACTGACTCATTGCCAGCCAGGGATGTATAGACAGCTTGGGCCCTGTCTGATCTCTTCTGCATGGATATGTGGAGAGCTTATCAGGGCCTCCTATGGCTGTCCAATTTTCAAGATCTCCTTGATAAATTTCTCAATAGTCTGCCAATCCATTTATTGCCCCAACCAGTTCTGAAGCCTCAGGCTATCTGAGCCACTGTTTTTACTTGTTCGTGTGCCACTAAGCTTGCTACTGTTATTGACAATGCTGTTGGGTATAGGGTTCATCCAAGTTCCACTCCAAATCTACTGAGTTCTCTCTGGTGTTGAAGCTGCTAATTTTCACAGCTTGTGTCTTTGTAGTTGAACAGATGCTCACTGTTCCTAACTCAAAGTTCTATTGATTTTCATGAATAGCTATTACTATATTTGTTATGTACCTTTGTTCAGTTTTCAGAGTCCTGAAATGGTTGCTTTTGACCACTTTATCCAGTTTTATTGTTGCTTTTTCGGAAAAGGATTTGCCCAGCTACTCACTCTGCCATACTAGAAGTCCCACCTCAGACATAATGTTCTTTTATTATATTGTCTTTGTCAGGTTTGGGCATCAATATTATGCTGGGTTCATTTTTTTTTAATGTATTTTTATTGATTTCAGAGAGGAAGGGAGGAGAGATAGAAACATCAGTGATGAGAGAGAATCACTGATCAGCTGCCTCCTGCACGCCCCCTACTGGGGATCGAGCCCCAACCTGGGCATGTGCCCTCGATTGGAATCAAACTGGGATCTTTCAGTCTGTAGGCTGACACTCTATCCACTGAGCCAAACTGGCTAGGGCTTATGCTGGGTTCATAAAGTGAATTGAAAATGCTCCTATTTATTAGAAAAATTTTGTGTAACTTATTTCTTCTGTAACTATATAATTCCATAGTGAAACCACCTGAGCCTAGAGCTTTCTCTATGAGAATCTCCTATCTACTCTACCAGATAACCCTATGTAAAGTGAATCCCCCTCACAGGAACTTGGCAGTCTCTCTAGATATGCCAGGTTTCTTTATCTAGAACTGGCTAGAAGTGGAAGCTGATTTTTGTAAGCATTTTGGAAATTTGTATTGCTTCAATGAAATTGTGACTTCCTGAGACCTGAACCATGATTTCCTACCTTACCTGAGAGAGGCTCACTGTTCGATGGTGTGTACAAATTAATCCGAAGGAACGTTTTAAGACATCTTCATGAGCTGTTTCCACCCCCGTCCATCACTTCTTTTACACCAAAAGTAGTCTGCAGGTAATGGTAGTTGTTTCTTTTGTGACATTTTGGGGTGGAGAAGGTGGATGTAATGAAGCCAGTAATTCAGGACTCAATTCCCTCTCATGTTGTGTTTTTTTGCTTTTGCACCGGAGTATATGAAATAGCTTCTAAAAGCTCCAGATGCAAGCTGGGAAGAATCTCGGTGACTGTAATAACATGGTGACAACACTTGAAACCTAAGTTAGACTTCTGTTACAGTCTCACTACTCAGTTTATTTTTTAGCAATTTAATGGGTACATTTTATTTTATTTTGTTAATCCTCAACCGAGGATATTTTTTCCATTGTTTTTTAGAGAGAGAGAGTGGAAGGGAGAGAGAGAGAGAGAGAGAGAGAGAGAGAGAGAGAGAGAGAGAGAGAGAGAGAGAGAAACATCAATGTGACAAAGATACATTGATTGGTTGCCTCAAGGAGGGAGGGTGGGTGGTAGGGTATGATCAAGCCTGCAACCGAGGTACGTGCCCTTGACCAGAATCAAACCTAAAACCCTTCAGTCTGTAGGCTGGAGCTCTAACCACTAGCCAAACCAGCTAAGGCTAATGGGTACATTTTAGAGTCTTACATTTGGTGTGGAATTAGATTCTCCCTTTCAAATGTTGTAATTAACATCACTTAAAACTTGAATAAAATATTGAAATCCACCCTGGCCAGTTTTGCTCAACAGTTAGAGCATCAGCCCATTGACCGCAGGGTCTCTGGTTTGATTCTCAGCCAAGGGCATGCACCTTGGTTGCAGGTTTGTCCCTGGCCTCTGTTGGGGCATGTGCAGGAGGCAACCAATCAATGTTTCTCTTTCTCTCTCCTCTCTCTCCCTTCCCCTCAATCTAAAAAAAACAAAAACAATGGGAAAAAATATTCTCAGTTGAGGATTAAAAAAATGCATATATTGAAACCTAAAAAAATGAAATAAAGTGAATCACCTTTATAATGTTCTGTTTCAGCACCCTTTCATCTTCTTAGAGCTCTATTGCCCCATATCCCCAAGTAAATATCTGATAGGAAATGTGCTCAATACTTGTTGAATAAATAAAGAAAAACTGAAAACCTAAGTATCAGTAATGATGGAAAACTCAATTATGATACATTAAAACAAGGTAATGTTATATAACTATTCAAACTGACAGGTATGGAAAAAATAAAATAAAATACTTATATGAAATAATGGAGAATGAGAAACTAGACCACTGGGATGCACATATCGTATAACTATGTAAAGAAAGTATATATACATCTAAATTAAAATGCCTGGAAAATAATTCATGGTGATAATAATAGGTTTTAACAATTAGCAGACATTTTGCAAAGGAAGCAGGTTGCTGACAACAATAGAGTATAAAGTCCGTATTGTGGAAAAGTACTTATAAAATATTAAGTGAAAAATAGAGCATAACATTGTATGTACACCATGATTATGGCTAGGCCAAATTAAATATAGATTGAAAGAGGATACAGAAAAAAAAATACCTATTGCATCAAGGTGATAGACGTGTATAAAATTTGTCTTAAATTTTTAAAAAATTGCTGATCTTTTAAAAATATTTTACAATGGGAGATAGCCATAAATAAATAAATAAAGAAGTAAGTAAGTAAATCTCAACACCCAATTAATAAGAAATGAATAACGTTTTGAGAAATATCTTTAGTCCTTTAATATATATAAGAAAAAATATATAAAATTAGAACTATAAAAATTCTTTTAACCTGCTCTTTTTCATTTAACAATATATAATGGCTTAATAATAAACTTTCAAAAACATTTTAAACAAAGTAAAATTAGTGTTACATTGGTGGAAAGACACATTAGTGAACTGAGCACAGCAAAGGAGTAAATATAGGCCCAGATCCATACTAACCCACAGTTGTTTATGTAAGCAGACCTAAAAATCAACTACTATATCTATAAAATAAAACATATACTGAGAGGGTGAAGATTATGCTTCTTTACAAATGTTATAAAGTATGGTAAAGTTAAGCATTAAAATGTAAAGAAACAATGGAGGAGAGTGAAGGAATGAAAAATACTGATAAATCCTCACTCCCAGAATAATCTCCCAAGTGCTCCCTCAGACCAATAACATAAAACTCACACCATATCCCCAGGAGAAGTCCGAGCTGCCTTCAGTAGAGATCCCCGTGCCTGTATAACTTGGAAAAGCAGACCTTGAATCCCCAGTGTCAGTTGATGTAAAAGGTGATTCTTGTGTGATGTCAGACTCACTAAAGGCAGAATTTGGAAGGAAGAGAGAAAACATTAACTACTCAGCAATTATGTGATAAGCATATGTACAAATATATCTAATGAAGCAAAAAATCAGTGAAGAACTTGAAATTTAAACATCATGAAAAAGTCCTAATTCCTATAGAATTGATGGCAGTCATTGTACATAATTCTTCTAGTCACAGTTTATAATGAATACTTTAACATTCCACCTGTAACATGTACCTTTGACAACTAAAGACATTTCAGAAATATTGGTAATATCTGAACTTGTTTGGCACTTTCACAGTTTACCAAGAAACATTTACAAATATTAATCCCCTTTTACCCTCACAACAACCTGGTGATGCAGAATTCAATGCCATTTTAAAGACAAAGACTCTGAAATTTGTTTTGTTTCATTAGTACAAGGCTTGATACCAATCCTAAGCTAAAAAAACAAAACCTTTGCCATTATCAAGTATAAAAACAAACAAATACACATCGTGTTACTACCTTTGGGAACTTGTATCTTTTTCATGGCTGTCATTGGTAGAAGAAATTTCATCCAGCTGCTCTGGAAGGGGATGATGATTAAGAGCATATTTTGTTATTCCTTTCCTGTGAAAGATAAAAAGAAAGTTATATTTCCTATAAACAAAAAATATACCTGTGAGAAACTTAGTCTAGAAGTTGATCACCTACTTCTTGCTGCTCTGGAAATGCATTGTCCAATACATTAGCCACTAGCAGTTAAAATGTGGTTAGTCAGAAATGAGATGCACAGATGCATTTTAAGTATAAACACACAGGATTTTGAACTCTTGGTACCAGAATGTACAGTATCTCACTAATCATTTTATCTTGATTATATGTTAAAGTGATAGTGTTTTGGATGTGAGTTAAACAAAATATATTATTAAAATTAATTTCACCCTAGCTAGTTTGGCTCAGTGGATAGAGTATCAGCCTGCAGACTGAAGGGTCCTGGGTTCGATTCCAGTCATAGAGCACATGCCTGGGTTGTGGGCTGGATCCTCAGTGTGGGGCGTGCAGGAGGCAGCCAATCAATGATTCTCTCTCATCATTGATATTTCCATCTCTCTCTCTCCCTTCCTTTCTGAAATCAATAAAAAATTAAAAAGAAAAAAAAAAGCCCTGACTGGTTTGGCTCAGTGGATAGAGCGTCAGCCTGCAGACTCAAAGGTCCCAGGTTCGATTCTGGTCAAGGGCATGTACCTTGGTTGCAGGCACATCCCCAATAGGGACTGTGCAGGAAGCAGCTGCTCGATGTTTCTCTCTCATCGATGTTTCTAACTCTCTATCCCTCTCCCTTCCTGTCTGTAAATAATCAATAAAATATAAAAAAATTAGTTTCACAGTAAATTAAAAATATAATAAGGTATAACCACACAACTATTAGAACAGCTAAAAATAAAATATGGTGATAACACAAAATACAGGTGAGGATGTGGAGAAACTGGATGTGTCTCTCATATATTGCTGGTGGGGAATGTGAAATGGTACAGCCACTTTACAATAGTTTTGTTTTCTTATAAAACTAAGCATATGCATTTACTATAAGACCTGGCCATTGCATTCTTGGGCATTGATCCCAGAGAAATGAAAACTGATGTTCACACAAAAATATGTATATAAACATTCACATTATAATTTTAATATAACTGAAATGTCTTTAGATGGGTGAAGGGTTAAACTCTGGTATATCCACAACGGAATATGATCCAGCAAAAAAAAAAAAAAAAAGGAAAGAAAGAGAAGTGAACTAGTGATATGTGCAACAACTTGGATGGATTTCAAGGGGATCATGCTTAGTGGAAAAAGCCAATCCCAAAGGTCACATACTGTATGATTCCATTCATGTAACATTCACAAATTACAAAACTACAGAGGCTGAGAAAAGATTAGTGGTTATCAGGAGATGGAGAAAGGAGTGGATGTGACTAGAAAGTGATACACAAAACTGCTCCTTGGTGGTAATGAAATATCTCTCTATCTTGATTTTACAGGTGGTTACACAAATTGGTATATGAGACTAAACAAACATACACACACAAAGGAGTGGATATAAAAACTGGTGAAAAGTGAATTAACACACTGTGAACCAATAGTTTTATTGCTAGCTTTACCCAGTGCCAGATAAGTTTCTATTGAATGAGTACAAAAAATGTTTTACATAAATGTTAAAGGCATGCTTTAAAATTAAATACCCATTGCAATTTGAAGTTATTTATTACATGTTCTTACAAGCTAATATCTTTTTAAAGTATGATACTTTGTAAAACACTGTGTAACATGAAGTGAGAATTCTCGTGATCCATCTGCAATGTGTTAAGGAATATGGTCCAATATATATAAAAGCCTAAGTGACCGTTATTATCTATATATATATATAAAAGCCTAAGTGACCATTCGACTGTTAGCTATGATATGAACACTTGACCACCAGGGGGCAGATGCTCAAAGCACAGGCATGGAAACATGGAACAGACTGAATCTCAGAGGGAAGGGGGGAAGGGGAAGGGCGGGAAGAGATTAACCAGAGATGCACCAGATTCGTGCTCTGGTGGGGTCCCTTGGCCTGGCCTGGGATCAGGCCAAGACTGGCAGTCCGACAGCTCCTGAGGGGTCCTGGATTGCGAGAGGGTGCAGGCCAGGCCGAGGGACCCCACCGGTGCACGAATCCATGCACCAGGCTTCTAGTAGTTATATAAGATGTCATCATTGGGCAAAGCTGGGTGAAGGAAGGGTTCATGGAACTCTATGTACTATTTTTATAACTTCCTGTGAGGCTATAATTATTTCAAAATAAAAACTTTAATTTCACCTGTTTCTAGGTGTTTTTTTTTAATATGACTACCTGAAATTTAAAATTACATATGTGGCTTGTATTATATTCCTACTAGAGGCCCGGTGCATGAATTCGTGCATGGGTGGGGTCCCTTGGGTGGCCTGTGGGGATTGGGCCGAAACCCACAGTCCAATGCCGCCTGCCGCTCCTGCCTGCTGCTGCTCCGACTCATCCCAGCCCCGCTGCACCTGCTGCAGGCTCGTGCCCAGTCAGTCCCGATCGGGAGAGCCCTGCCTCTGGTGCCCGTCCCGAGGGGGGGCGGGGCTGGGATGCTATCGGTCATCCAGGCAGGCTGTGGGACGCCCTTGCCGGCCCAAGATCCAGATCTGTCCCGCTGACGTTTGTGCTGGTTGTCAGGAACCACCTGGTGGCCACTTTTACATCATTTCTTCCTTGCAGAGCGTATAGCGAGGGGAAGCGGCCGCGGTGCCCAAGGCTGACTTCCAGGAGGCCAGCGGTGCTGTTGGGATCGTGCCAGCGGTGCCAGCCCGTCGGTGCCTGGCCCGTTCTCCAGAGCTTGGAACTGCAGGACTACTAAGGGAGTGAGTGGCTGCCACCGGGCTGGTTGGCCACTGGGACAGACGAGTAGGTCAGCTAAGCAGCGCTCCCACTGTGGGAGCACACTGACCACCAGGGGGAAGCTCCTGCATTGAGCATCTGCCCCCTGGTGGTCAGTGCGCATCATAGTGACCAGTCGACCAGTTGTTCGGTCACTTAGGCTTTTATATATATAGATTGGACAGTGCTGCTGTAGAGTTCAATGTGTGCATGAGAATAAACTATGGGGTTAATTATATATTTCAATCCTAATCATCTACAGTAGACTTTCCTTCCCCACAAAATTCTTTTAAAAAAATATATTATATTTTTTTTTTACAGAGAGGAAGGGAGAGGGATAGAGAGTTAGAAGCATCGATGAGAGAGAAACATCGAACAGCTGCCTCCTGTACACCTCCTACTGATGATGTGCCTGCAACCAAGGTACATGCCTTTGACCAGAATCAAACCTGGGACCTTTCAGTGCGCAGGCTGATGCTCTATCCACTGAGCCAAACTGGTTAGGGCCCCACAAAATTCTTTAGTCAAATAAATTTAGGAAACACGATAGGTTAAACCAAGTTACACAGGTTTCTTTACAAGAGGTCTTCCCAGGGCCTTTTATATGCAAATGTGTATTATAAATCTCTAATACTCTTATTTCCCAGGAAAGGAAACTGAGGCACAGAGGGATTAAGTAACCTTGCTTAAGTCTTAGGGCTAGTAAGTGATGGAGCCAGGACTCAAACCCAAGTAGTCTGGCTCTGAGGCTTCTCAGAACAATTGAATAGTTTGAGATTTTAGTGAACTGTACCATTTTTTTTTTTGTATACAAATATAAAGGTAAGGGCCCAGTTAGTGGAGCTTGTACTTTAAATTATTTCTTAAATAGTGGGGATGGACTTGTGCAGAGCTATTTGTACTTCTCTTATTCAGTGATCCTACAACTAAAAACTTGTCTTTGAAATAGTGGTAGGGATCAGAAATATGGATTCCAGTTACAAAATAGAAACTTAAGACCTTTTTCAGTCTATCAGAGAAAGTGGATTATGGATTGACAATTAGATAATACCAAAAATATTAAATTTGATAACAGCATTTTGGTTACATAGAAAATGCATGTAATTTTTAAAGATGCATTCTGACTGGCACTGGCTCAGTTGTTAGAGTATCATCCCGAAATGGGGGTGGGGGAGGGCGGCTAGAAGGGGTCACTGGGGGAATAAGGGGGACATATGTAATACTTTCAACAATAAACATTTACAAATAAAATTTAAGTAAGTCTCAAAGCGAACTGATCCTTATGGATTCAGATGCTCAACTGTAGCGATGGAGAGGCAGTATGTGTAATGGCTATGACCACAGGCTGCAGAATCCGGTGGACACCGGGTGTGACTTCAGCTCCACCACTTTCAGGCTGAGCACAGTCTTTAAATTGGGGTCTTTACATGTAGAATGCAAAATAACAGTCCCCACCTGCCATGCTTGTTGGGTCGGATTAAGTGAGCAAGTACATGTAAGCATCTTTGCACAGTGCCTGGCACTGGGATATATTCACCTTTCCTCTAACACTCAGTCAGCGACTAACAACTTCCGGGATGGTCAGTGGCCAGGACAGTGCGGCGTGAAGCTGCGGAAACCACCAAAGCCTTCGGGGACCCGAGCTCTGGAAACGCCGCCCAAGGGGGCCAGGCCCTGGGACAGCACAGTGACAGTCTCTTAGCTGGAAATGGACGCGGAAGGGACAAAGTCCGGCCAGGCGGGAAGGACAGAACGCCGAAGAAAACTTCCTGCCTCCCGCCTGGGAAGGAAAGGAGCGAGGGGCTGGTCACGAAGGGTCCCGGAGCGCCCGCGCCCCACCTCGCCTCCCCTGGCCGCGGCGGGCATGGCCGAGCATCACTCACAGCTCCAAGCTCTGCGGCACCGCCTTCCGAGTGTATCTGGAGATCATCCTCCGCCTCCTCCTCATTCGCGGCCGGCACGGGCACGCCAGGGTGGGGGCCTCCAGGCCGGGCCCTCCGGCCGGCTCCTGCCCGGCCCCCTCCCGCCACCTTCCAGCCCCGTCACGCCCCGTCGCCTAGACTCCGGACCGCCGCCTCCTCGGACTCCCCGCCTCTCCGATCTTCCGTCCTCCCTACTTCCTGCGGGGGCGGAAGTGACGGAGACATCGCGCACCCGCCTAAGGCTCCCTTCCGAGCGCGGCGGTGACCACGCCGGGGTTCCGGCGCTGAGCGGGCCTCGGGTTCCACACGCGTGTCTGGGCTGAGCCGAGGGGCCAGGCTTTGGCGGCTGCTGGCTGTTCCCGGCTCCGACCTGCTCACGCGGTGGGAGGGGCGGCCGAGGGAAGGTGCCGCAGCAGAGACGCGTCGGAGAGGCCCTGAACCGTAAGAGGAATTGGCTTCATTTTGTCAGACGCAAGAAGGGACGCTTCTCTTTTCTGTGCTCCCGGCGTTGCCATCTGCACAGCGAGGGCTTAGCTCGAGTGACCCCCAAGCCCCTCCTGGTTGTGACACGGAATTCTTCATCATCAGGTGTGCTTGGCTCCATGGGTGGTTAGGTGGGTGGAATTACTGTCTGCCCCTCTGGGCGGAAAGGCCAAATGAGGATTTGGACAGCCCGCGGTGAAAGAGCGTGGAGACAAGATGAGGTTCCTCTCCATCTCATATTAGTCCGATAGAAAGCCGAGTAGATACAAAAATCGGGTCACGTGGGCCATCCAGGGCTGTGCCATTGTTTACAAAGCATCACCCGGCAGCAGTAATAAACTACTACTTTTGTTTGTAATGGAAACTCTTAGAAGATAAAGAGATATCTACCACCTCCTGGTATGACAGAGCTGTGCCCCCCTGAGACCTGAAAAAGGGGCAGATTTTGGACAGGTAGTTGTAGGGTCAAGAACCATGGGCAGATTGTTTTGGGATAAGACATGAATGTTTTGTAGTTTTTAATTCCCCTATGTCATACACAGTGTTTATAAAAGAGAAAGATCAAAATTCTGCAGAGTAAGGCAGATTGCTTTTCAGAGGGTTTAAATATTAAAAAAGTTAAATTGGGGCAGGATTCTAGAGAAGGTAGAGTAACAATTTAATTCTACAATGAAAGAAAAAGCCCCAGAAAGAGATAGTGCCCAAAATGACAATTAATTTAGTGGCAGAGCTGCAACTTTGGATAGTATTTAAACAGAAGATGTTAGTGCAGTGTTCTCAAACTGTGTGTGTTACACACGCCACTGCAACTACAAGGGCAAATATTTTTTTTATTTTGTTCTTACATAATTTGGGAATGTGATACTGAATTTCCATTCATTGTATTCTTTTAAAAATATATTTTATTGATTTTTTACAGAGAGGAAGGGAGAGGGATAGAGAGTTAGAAACATCGATGAGAGAGAAACATCGATCAGCTGCCTCTTGCACACTCCCCACTGGGGATGTGCCCGCAACCAAGGTACATGCCCTTGACCGGAATCGAACCTGGGACCCTTGAGTCCACAGGCCGGCGCTCTATCCACTGAGCCAACCCGGTTAGAGCCCATTCATTGTATTATATCACAAGTTCCTGTAACATAATTTTAAGTGTAAAGAACATAATTTTAAATACAAAACGGTCATTGAAAGAACATTAAATAAGTGTTATTATATTTGATAAATGATCAAGACAAAAATCATGATGATGGTATATGGATAATTTTGAATTTTGGAAAACAATGTTAATGGAATCACCTAAAATAATTCAGGGAACGGTATATTACTTCTACATTGTTCTAGGTGGTTTATATGATTGAAACTTTAAATGTAGTTTTCAAAGAAGAATGGAGGAGAATATGAAGCTTGCTACAGTGGAAGATGCTGTGGTGTACCGCCTGTTCCTGATACCAGATGAACCAAGGGATGCAGAAGAACACAAGGAGATTCTTCAAAAGTATATTGAGAGAATAATGACCCAGTTTGCACCTATGCTGGTCCATTATATCTGGCAGAATCAGCCTTTCAATCTCAAATACAAACCTGAGAAAGGTAAGGAAGGCTCTTTTACTTACTTTGATTTGATATGGTGGCTTTTAAGGTCATTCTGATAACAGTGACATATAATAGCCCACAGTTTATTCAGCGTTGTCAGGAGATTTAGATTAGTGATGCTTGCCTATATTAAGTTAAGCCCTTAAATTTTTTTTTCATTCATATTGATGAAAACATTTTAATAGTCACTACCTTAGGAACTAAGCAACATTATTAAACGTGGGGCTATTCTTTTAAGCTTTACTTTTCTATGCCATACTGTATCTAGGTACCTATACTAAACAGATTCAGGCATCTTTAGCTGTTACTCTGTATTTCTCACTATTGATGGTGTGATTAGTAGGCTGCCTTGTTTTGGTAGTGATCTAAGAGTGGCTCTGCCTGGCTTATAAAGAGAAATAATTGGGCTTTATAACCATTATTTGCCACTTTTTCATTGTCTTCCCTGTGTTGTTGGTTGTTGAGATCTGACCTCTAGCCAAATATGGCTCTTTGCCCTAGCCCTATGACTTCTTTAGCTTTACACAAGTGAATCATGGGTAGGTGACCAGGCTCTCCTTATACAGTGACTTATCTGAGGTCTTGTTTCAGATCAGGAGCATGGCACCTTGTGAGACCATAAGTCTGGCTCTCAATTGGTTGTCAATTGTCTTCTTTACTGTTAATTTTATTGAATTCCTATTCACTGAAATACCTGTATTTATTGGCAAGAACACTGTCACGTTAGTGCAGCACATGCAAAACCAACTCTTTTTTCTAGAAAATCATTTTTATATATATATATTTTTTTTTTTAATTGATTTTTTTTACAGAGAGGAAGGGAAAGGGCTAGAGAGTTAGAAACATCGATGAGAGAGAAACATCGATCAGCTGCCTTCTGCACACCTCCTACTGGGGATGTGCCCGCAACCAAGATACATGCCCTTGACCGGAATTGAACCTGGGACCTTTCAGTCTGCAGGCCGACGCTCTATCCACCGAGCCAAACCGGTCAGGGCTAGAAAATCATTTTTATCCAGTGTTTTCTCATCTTGCTTAATGGCTTTGCTATCTACCTGGTTATCCAAGTTAGGTAGTCATTCAAAATCATACTCAATTCCTCACTTCACCATGTTCAGTCAGGGACTAAGTCCTAGAGTGAATACTCCTAAAATGTGACCCCTTCTCTACATCTTTTTGGCTACAGTATAGGCCCCTTTAAAAAGAAAAAAGAAAAAAATATATATATATTGTTTATTGATTTCAGAGGGAAAGGGAGAGGGAAGAGAGATAGAAACATCAATGCTGAGAGAGAATCATTGATCAGCTGCCTCTTGCACACCCCCCACTGGGGATTGAGCCCGCAACCTGGGCATGTGCCCTTGGCCGGAATTGAACCTGCTACCCTTCAGTCTGCAGGCCGACGCTCTGTCCACTGAGCCAAACCAGCTAGGGCTGTATAGGCCCTTTTTATCTCTTCATCTGGAAGATTATGATAGCCACCTAACCTCTCCAGTTTAGGCATCTCCAGTTTCCTCATACTGTTAAATTTACTTTTGAAGAACACTAATTTGATCATGTCACTCACCTACCTAATGTTTTGAACAGCTCCACATTGCTTCTGGATGAAGTTCAAATTCAAGTTTAATACATCAGATAGATAGAGATAGATACCCTAATTGGAGTTTCTCTAGCTTAACAAACTTGGGAGGTCTGGGGTGAGGATAAGGAGAGTTGACTGGGGTCTTCTTCCCACCTGTTTTTTGCCATGGCAGCTTTTGAGACACTCCACCATACACTTGTTTGATCTCATTCTGTTAGTGTGGTATATTGCATTGATTGATTTTCATATGTTGAACCATCCTTGCATTTCAGGATTATGTTCCACATGGTCCTGGTGTACAGTCCTTTTAATGTGTTACTGAATTCAGTTTGCTAGTATTTTGATGAGGATTTCTGCATCAATATTCACCAGGGATATTGGTCCTAGTTTTCTTATATTGTCTTTTGTCTGGTATTAGAGTGATGCTGGCCTCCTCATAAAATGAGTTTGGGAGTACTTGCTCCTCTTCAGTTTTTTGGTAAGTGTTTGAGGAGTGTTAATGTTAATTCTTTTTTATATGGTTGGTAGAATTCTCCAGTGAAGTCATTTGGTCCTGGGCATTTTTTTGTTGTTGGGAAATTTTGATTACTGATTCAGTTTTCTTACGAGTTACAGGTCTATTTAGATTTTCTGTTTCTTCTCGACCAGTCTAGATAGATTGTGTGTTTCTAGGAATTTACCCATTTCTTCTAAGTTATCCAATTTGTTGATATGAAATCATTCATAGTGTTCTCTTATGGTCCTTTTTATTTCTGTGAAATAGGTGATAATATCCCCTCTTTCATTTTTGAGTCTTCTCTCTTTTATTTTAGTTAATCTAACTAACATTTTGTCAATTTTGTTGATCTTTCTAAACAAACCAACTCAGTTTATGTTGATTTTTTTCTACTGTGTTTTTGTTATCTATTTTTTTTTTAAAATCTCTGCTCTAATCTTTATTATTTCCTTCCTTCTGCTAGCTTAGGATTTAGTTTGTTCTTTTCTAGTTCCTTAAGGTATAAAGTTAGGTTGTTGATTTGAGATCTTTTATAACTATAAACTTCTCTTTTAGCACTGTTTTCACCGAATCTCATAAGTTTTGGTATGTTGAGTTTTTGTTTTTATTTCCTCAAGATATTTTCTAATTTCTCTTATGATTTTTTCTTTGACTCATATGTTGTTTATAGCCGGCATGGCTCAGGGGTTGAGCGTAGACCTATGAACCAGGAGGTTACAGTTCGATTCCCAGTCAGGGCACAGGCCCGGGTTTGCAGGCTTGATCCCGAGTATAGGGCATGTAGGAGGCAGTTGATCAATGATTCTCTACCATCATTGATGTTTCCATCTCTCTCTCTTTCTCCCCTCCTCTCTGAAATCAATAAATATATATATATTTTTAAAAGAGTATGTTGTTTAATTTCTACATATAATTGGATGCTTGTTTACTAGTAAAAATTCTGTTCCATCCAAATCTAGCTACCTAATATTCGCAGAGCCTCTGTGCCTTTGCACATACTATTCTGTCT